TATATATATATATATATATCATATTTTTGTATATTTATCTTCACTTCGGAAGACGCGTTCAAGTCGAACGCCTTTCTCATGTTAAAATATACTTAACGTTTTTGTTCGTCGAGCATGTTACATCGTAAAGCCTCGGAACAAAATCATTTCTTGTACTCTTTTGCAATGTGCATTTTTATATACAAGGTGTCCCAAAAGAAGTCATGGATCATCGACCAAAAAGAAGTAACAAATGAGAATAAGAGTGAAGTTAAGATCATTTCCAATAAGTCATCCCGTAGATTTCTCGAACGTTTTCAAGTTACACGCACATTTTTGTAAAAAATAATTCGTATGTTTTAATGCGAATAAAGCAAAAATCATTTTCTTCGACGATACAGATTATTGAATTTCTTTTAATTAAAATCCATGACTTTTGGGATATCCGGTATATTTGTGTACGTACGTATACATAGATCAGAAAAGATACAATCTTTCATAGTTATATCGCACGCGTATAGCTAGATCGTGTCAATGTTAATCGTTTATTGATGGACTAGAATTTAACGTAACGAAGAAAAAAGTTAGTATCCTCGTCGTATAACCACAACGAAATGTCGTTTAACGAAATATAATATTATTATTATAATAAATGAAATTATTTTTTTGTGGTGATACCATCGGACACTTTGCCAAGTGCTTTTTTATTGACATTCGCCAAAGCTCTAGTTGAATTAGCATGGGAAGTTTTATTAGTTTCAAATCTTTGTTGCAACGATGCTACGTTCGATTTGCTATTGGCAGCTCTTTGAACGGGATTGATCGTAGAATCTGTTGTTGTTATTTTCGTATCACTCGTTTTCGATGGATTTTTATTCGAAGTTGGCGATATTTTATTATTCAAAGTATTATCCCTAGTCGTGGATGAAGAAAAAGATTTAATAATGTTAACGTTACCCGACGGAGATTTTTTTTTCTCCGTTAAGCTGGCAGCCTTTGATACGATACTTAATGGTTTCATCGGCATTGCTGGGGCTTTTGTAGCCCTCGACAATGTCGATGATTTTTGTGTTTGCGTTTTAGGTACCACACTTAATTTATGGTTATTACCTAATACGTCCGGTGATTTCGTACTATTTTGATTCGAATTCGAACAACTCGAGACTAAATCAGGACTATTTAATTTACTTGAATCATCCTTATTGTTAGTACTAGAAGGCACACTTTTTACGGATGATCCATTAACACTCGTATTATTTGAATCTAATTTGTCTATGCTATTATTTTGTTTATTAATATTGCCATTAGATTTATTTTGAATTGGCACCTGTCTCGCTTTAGTATTTTTATCTAAAGTATTTTTGATAGTAGTAGTTGTAATATTGTTAACACCGTCCGGTGATTGTACAGGTGATTTCGTATTAATTTCCGAATTTTGTTTAGTTGTTGTTCTCGTTGATGTGTAAGCTTTATTAGTAAGACTCGGTGGTGTCTTAGTTCTACTTAATTGCAATGGCTTACTCATTGCACTTTTTCCATCTTCTTTTTTATCATTTAGTCTGTTGTTTGTTGATAAGATCAAAGAAGACCGATCCGCGGTAATATTAACAAATGGTTTTTGAATCGTGCCTAGACCAAGTTCCTTCGATATTTCTTCATTGACGTTACTGTTACGAGAATTACCTGATAACAAAGGTGAAATCTCGCAAGTGTTTTTATCCTTCGAAGTATCTTTCGTTAAACGTTCCTTAACTGACTGTGGTACATTTAATGCACAAGGATTAAGATAACCAGAACTAGTCGTCGAACTTGAGGAATTAAATTTGCAACCGGATGCGGAATTGGAATAAACACTGCCCGGTGATTTGTAATGATTTGAATTCATATAACCACCGAGGGAACTATTGGATCCTAAATTTTCGTTGGCCTTAGCAATTT